GAAAAAAAAGTACTTCTAACAGTACAGATAAAAAGTACTCATTTTCACTTAAGCAATGGAAATCTAACATCTCTAAAGCCGAGGTTACAATCTTGTCAATGACTAAAACTCTTTTTAGTCTGTGAAGGAGAAACATGAAGTAGCTCAAGACAAACAAAACCAAGCAACTTTCCAAACTCTTACTCTTTATGTCTTGTGGTGATGTATCCCAGTCTCATCAGATGGCTGTAAACCTGTGAAAAAATAAAGAAATAAATCAAATATGGAACTCATTCTGCAAGAAAAAAAATGAACAAAACTGCCAATTTCAAAGTTTCTGGGAGACATTGCATGTACGTGTACTATAAGTTTTAGCTCCCCAAAAAGCAAGTAGCACCACAAAAACTAGAATCTGAAAGTATATACATGTATGCCTCTGCCAATAAATTGTGTTAACAAGATTGGTTTGACATCTCTAGTTATTGACTCGCTACACACGTACCCTATTAACAGTGAAAATGAGAATAAGACCTGATACTGAGGGCACTGTACAGCCACTGCTGCAGTGTGCCAAGCTCAGGTATGTTTGTCTCATGCACAGATACTACAAATTGTTTTGCAAATTTGAAAAGTGGCTGCACAGTGTTCATACTTGGCACTATGCTTGCGGTAAACCACTGATGGGCCTAATGCGTCCTTCATAGGCTCTTGTAAGTACACCTTACAGCGCCCTCTATGGTCCTGAACAGAGTCCATTACCTGGTAATGCTCCAATGAGAATTGCTCAGGTATCATCAGCTCATATGCTTCCTGCATTGTCAATGGTACTCCCCGATGTCTCAACTCCATGCCATTCTATGTGAAGAACAAATGGGGGGAAAAACCACTTTTTTAAATACATGAAGTCTCCTTAGGCTTGTCCAGCGACCCCAATCAAAAGCCATCACTGATGTGATAACACACTCATGTGAATGTCGCACACATTCTTTATAATGTATTTCAATGTAATGCATTTCATCAAAGGAGTATGGAGTGCATGTGGACAACCATGGCATGAACATTCCTTCAAATTGTGGTCACCGGATTTCACAGTCTATAATGTGACCTGCTTTCAGTAATCTAAGAATAAAAGAAATACCGGCTTGTATCCAGCTTTTTTTTTGGGGGGGGGGGGGAGGGAGTGGTAGGGTTAAAGAACAGGGACATGACCTTTGCAGAATACAAACTTGGGGGTTGATCATTTTGGTGCTTACCATCTCCAACAGAAAGAGTCCCTCCTCAGCATACAGGTACTTCCGACCACCAGAATGGTACCCCATGGTCTGCCAAAACTTCCCCTGTCACCAAAGTTTTAATATCAAATATTAGTTTATATTTTGTGCACTAACTAGTCAAGTTTCATTGTGATGTTCTCCAATACTTGGTCCAATTCCCTTCGCACCGACATTTACATGAAGTACGAACCGGCCTTAAGATGAGCTAAAAATCATCCCTTGGATTTATGATTTACCAATTTAACTGTGACCTTCACTGACCTTTTCAACTTTGACCTCCACCAGCTCCTTGCAGGGACTCCATTCACCTATGGCCAAATTGCTTCTGCAATATTAAACACACACACAAATTTCATTTGCTTCCTGCAAAATAAAAATAACTACAAAATTGTGTAATCTACTTTCTAAACCACTGTTAAAATGACAAAACAGTCATTACATGCAGGACTAAAACATTCCAATCATCTTTTCCACACCTCTTGACATACTAGAACAACGATCCTTCTGCTTTTGAGTGTTTGAGCAACCAATATCCCAGATTGTAACCACCTCAAACCTAGTACATGTTGAAGAGGCTAATCTATTTCCCCTCTTCATAGACAACAGACATCTTCCCCTTACATTGGAATAAAAGCTTGATTTTGATTGGAAATCTATCCTTGAGAGTTATTTCTTGGATAATAACTTGAGCTTTGTTCCCTTGTTTTTAAGGACACAGACCCAACAAGAATGCAGAGTTCACTAGTTACCCAGTCAATCCAAGCCGTTACTTTTGTTGTTGTCACAAATTTCTCACAGATTTCTGAAGACAGGGATTGACAATTCAGTGACAAGACGATGAAATCACAGGTTTATCATAGATTCCATAAGAAAATGGAATTGTGTTTTAGGCCATTTCAAAGATTACAGGTTGTTGGAGAAAAAATCATTGAAATGGTGATACACAATATAAAAAAGATCAGTGCAAAGTGATTTATGAATGGTTAAAGATGTTCAAAGTGAATTATCACATATGAAACAAGAGAGAAACTATAAAACAAGAGAATGCAAGAATCCTGCAAAGTCATCAATTGCTGTGCAACGATACTCACAGTTTAGCCACCCTCCGTTCTTTCAGTAACGTAATTTGCTGCTCATGAAGACTCCGCAGCTTCTGTTCCTGGCGTTGGGAGCCATCCGGACTTTTTTCCTTAGGACCCCTACGGGGAAGAGAAGAGTCCAGCCGTCTATAGTTCATCAGTTCCTCCGTTCTGAAACGAGAAAGTTTAAATGGTTACAGAATGCTGTGACGTCAGCACACGATCAGCTGTACACATATTTGTTAGATACTGTTCAATTTAACAAAATTTGTCTATTTTCCTTTCGTATGCAAAGTGCTTATTATTGGCATTTTGATTTTCTACAAGAAACAAACTATCAAACGGGTCCTTTACATTTAGAATATCAATGTATCTCATATGCACATTACTGTTTAAACAAAAGCCTACAGGACAAGCTCATCTTCTTAAGTAACTTCCATAAATTAAATTCAACAGAGAGCAGGAAATGCAAGCGTATGTAATGCAGTTTTTTTTTTTTTTTTTTTTTAATTTTAAGTTAGCCTGAGGGCATTTCGTCATGCCAACAAGCTGAAAGTCATCTCAGACAATCCCATTTTCTTCTTCTTCATCATATGAGGGAGTAATTGCAGAATTGGAAAGGGGGAAAATTCAATTATTTTATTTTAACAAATAGCGTTCTGGAAGCTTAAAACTTAAGGCAACTGATGTATGTATGTGCCCAACAATAACTTGTAGAATCCATCCAAGAATAGGGAAATAAATTGTTGACAAATAATATCCGTGAATGTGCAAATGTGAAATGTAGCATTCCTTGTATGTCAATTGTTATGTTATATTGACCTGAACATACGTGTGTAAAACAAATTAGGATGAAACCTTCATGACGGCATTTTTATCTGGAAAATGGATGACCAGAAATCTGCTTCCTGGTATAGGCCTAAACTTATATTTTAATATTCAATTGAATGAAAGGTCTAACATTCCAATATTCAACTGATCTAATTAATTCAGCCTTTTTATAAGCAATAAGACCATACTGATTTCTTTCATTCCGAAAAGGGTTTAGTGTCAATCTTTACAGAGTGAAATTGAAACTACCCGTATGAAACTTTTACCTAAGTTACATGTGCACAAACCATGCAAAAGTGAGAGTGGCATCTACAACTACATCTATGTTAGATCACCTGATCAAACAATTAAAACATTATAACCATTACAAACAAATAGATTTCATAAATGAATTAATTTCTGCTAAAAAAAAAAAAACACTTATTAATTTATAATCATCCCACATCATTTTGATAAAAAGGCTATTAGTGCTGCAGCAAGTGCAAATCTATACTCTATGTATCTTTGGTTTACTGCATGCACGGTTGTCGGTCAATCATGTTAATATTTGGATGTCTAGCTGGCTTTGATTTTTGAAGGGGACACATGAATATGCATGAGCTATTTTTTATAGCGAGAGCAATATATTCTTGTATCCCCCCCAAAAAAGGCCATCCAATAAAATATTCTTATGCTGACATGGTCCGCAAGAAATAAAGGAACAAATGTTGCAACCTGACGCCACTTCAGGGGTTGTGTACAAAGTCTATGGAGCTGAGACTAGAGTCAAGAAAATTGAAGTATTTCCTATCCTAACAATTGGAAATGTTTCTCACTCAGTCCAAGATTCATGTCTTATCATTAGTTTTGCAATGAAGGCTTCATTATGAAGAAAAACGTGGAGTCAGGGTGCAACATTTTTTCCGAAATAAATTTCAGGACATGGTCACAATTATTTTTACATTACAGTTACACTGATTCTTTTTTTTTGCCACTGCACTGGCAATGACTATTGTCTGGAACCTGTGGGAAGTAAATATAAATAACATGAATAATAATGAACTTGGCATAGCATTGTTCGGTGGTGATGTGATCATAAAATGTCTCTTTTCAGTTGGACTTACCTTAGAGTTTCTGCCATACCATCAATCAGATGAGAGGGGCTGCATGTACGAAAAACTCTGGTAGTGTGCACGTGTATCAAGTTTCCTAAGGTGTTTTTCAATAGGGCCTAATTCCTCGAATAATGCCGGCCACAGCTGAGCTGTCACTCGTCAGCTTTTTCAACCCCCAAAATCGCCGGAGCTCGTCAGCATAATAACTTATGTCCTTCATAAAATACTTGCGTTATAAGGTTACAATGGAAGATTTCCAATTCAGCAAATTTGACAGGCTGCCGGAAAAACCTTCATAATCTAAAAGATACCTTTTTAATCACAACTTCACGTGCATGTCCACGTGAAATTAATTCGACTGGTCCCGCCCCACACATACAGCTACTAAATTGTTACCCGCGCAGTGTACCAGTGAAAAGAAGGTAAACACATCCAAATAAATAGACTTGTTACCAGCCTTTCCTTCTTCTTCTTCTTCTTCCAATATCTGCGCACTACTAAGGCACATTGTTGGCCGCAAATTTCAATTACTGTCTGATGTCAAATTCGTTATAAGATCGAATTATAAGAAGATTTAAACTGCCTCCCCTCATTATTTTTAATCCTGGCCACGCCCTTGAAAAATTGTAAACACTTGGGGGCGTTTTCATGCGAAGTCACACATAATTTGCATATTTTTAAAGTTTGGTAGTTTCGCACGTGGACTTTATCATCGTGCCGTGTTTTTATTTACTTTTAATGACCAATATAAATGCTAGCCTTGACCAAAAAGATAAGGGGGTGTTGAAAGGCGAGGAATGTTGTATGTTCCAAGGTTCAAAATATCTACACCGTACCACAAGCGCAGAGCGGCCCATTGATGATCAGTTACTTGGCGTACGTGCTCCACCAAAGCATCTCCACTGAACGGGTACCGCGCCGCATGACGGTGGCAGCCGAAGTCGAACTGTAGATGTGGAAGTGCATGCATTGGTAAGTATAACTCCAAAGTAGTAAGATGTTGTTTTCTTCTTCTGGATAGAGTGTCTTAAATGTCGGTTAGATCAGTTTCCTGTTATAATAATTGAACCGTGGCTTTTGTCAATTTTTACATTTTTAGCGTTTTTAAATGGTTTGTTTTATTTTTAACCTCTAAAAACGAAACTTTCACAGTTTCACCAAACAGAAAAATGAGAAAGCTTCACTTAGCCTTAATAATAATATTTCTTACAAAATCTTGGTAAAGTACCGTAAAACCGTAACAAAGTGAACTATCTGGTAGTATTAATACAAGATGTTTTTGTTAAACATCAACTTAAAAAAACAACTGATTGTTGTAATCAAAGGATAGTGGAAAATGCATTAAATTATGACAATGTTTTTAATATGCATTTCTGTTACAGAAAACTCTTCAAAGCATTCCTCGTATTTGTTGCTGTGCATTTGTTCAGGAGAAACTATTTGGAGGCAGAAAAATTCCACGAAAAAAACCCACTTGAAGAAAGTAATGTCTTCAGACCAAGTTCAAACGAAGTTGAAGAAGGCTGCCTGGGAATATTGTTTCTCAGTGGACGTCTGGAAGGATCGTTTTCCTTTTACCAGATGGCTTCCCAAGTATCGACCTAACAAAATCCTGAATGACATCATTGCTGGCTTGACTGTAGGGCTTACAGTTCTGCCTCAGGCCCTGGCATACGCAAACATCGCTAAACTCCCACTGGTGGTAAGTGTAGTGGATCTTTTCCAAGTTCATCATTATTTATTGGCCAGAATTTTCCTTCCGGGCTTAAAAAAGTATGTTTCAAAAAGCCCCCTCTTGAAGACGATTTTGTTTTTCATTTTAAATAGGTAAATGTGGTGTGTTTTCTTTTAGTTCTACCATCCTACAGAATACATTTCCAAATTCTAAGGATTTCAAATTCATTGAGATTTCAGACATCTTAGAAAATAAATATATATAAAAAAAAAGCTACAAAAGCATATCCAGGTCAAAGGAAAGATACTATTTGTCCAGTGATTAGCGTTCTGAAAGGAAATGGTTTTATTTTCTACTCAAAGCAAGTAACATATTGTTTTTTTCCCTCCGTCATTTATGTGCTCAATGTATTGTTTTTCTCTTGCTTGTTTGCAGTATGGCTTATACTCGGCCTTCGTAGGTTCCTTCATGTACTGCATCTTTGGTATGTCCAAGGATATCACCGTTGGTCCCACTGCCATTATGTCACTGTTGGTGGCAGATTACGGCAAGCCACTGGATGATGGATCTGAAGACGCACTCAATGATCCAACCTATGCTGTATTGCTGGCATTTTTCTGCGGCATTATACAAATTGGTATGGGAATTTTGCATCTGGGTGAGTACAGCAAAGTTAGATTTTTTTCAAAAAAAAAATCTGCTTACAGATATTATTTGCTAATGGTGCCAATAATTTGGATCATAATTTTAAAACATGAGAAATCTGGAAATTAGCTTACCTTGGTTTTCTTAACACATTTCAAGCTTCCCAACATTCTATGAATAAAATCAATATCCTAATATTTAAAAGAATTGGTATGATACAACTGATGCTTTAATGTGATTCTGAGCTCTGTAAAGTATTTGTGACTTTCTTTGAAATAACATTCCAAAAGGCGGACTCTTTAGACCAATAGAATTATGAAAATTATGCCTTTCCACTTTGGTGTGTGATGAAAACACCTCACGTTAGGGATGGATATGGACTTACATTGCCTTACATTTTCTACAATTTCATTAAATGACAGTATTTTGTTCAATGTGATGAAAGTTCCTGCCTACCTGCATAGGTTTGTTAAACCCTTCACAATTATGTGGTAATTGTCTCTTGATATTCAATGATATTAATGTCTTTCTGCCCACAGGTTTTGTCACTAATTACATTTCCTCAGTGGTGATATCAGGCTTCACATCCGCCTCCGCTCTGACAATTGGTTTTGGTCAAATCAAAAACATCTTAGGCATCCGCTTCCATTCTGAGGTCTTCACCTTGGATCTTTACAACATATTCAAACACATCGGAGAAACAAAGTAAGACTTATATTATTTTCCTTTTCTCTGGTGTATTGGTTTTATTTTTGGAAATTAATAATCAGGAGAAAAGTATTTCAAAAAGTTATTATGACAGTCAATGATGTTGCAAACCAGATTTAGTCTTTGCTGGGCTAGGGGGATATTAACACTCATTATTGCAGTCAAGCCCTCATAAAAAAAGGTTTTCTGAGATTTTCAGTGCAGGCCATGCCTCATTCAAAGCAAACGAATCTGAACAATAGTTGGAATATTACACTTTGTCACTCTTAGATGCACTGTTTAAGAAGATAAGGAAAACGTTCGGAAGTTGCTCAAAAATATATATAACATTTTAGTTTTTTTAATTTTAATCCATTTTTTTGTCCAATCAGTTCTGTCAAGAACTAATTAACATTGTTCTCATTGAACAAGTACTGCAGTGAATGAATGAGACGTTACTGAAATAGTTGCATTATTTGGACATTCTGACCATGGTAAAAAGACTGAATTAAATATGGCAGGTTCAACAACTTTTAAAATATTGTTATACCTTGACACTTTGTTCCTTCTCCCTTTTCAAAAGACCTTCATTTTGCCCCTCCCCCTATCTGAATTTTCTGTCAAACAAAAGCCCAAACTTCAAATCGTAGCAACATATCACTGTGAAAACTCAAAAGAGATAAGTTGCAGGTTTGTTCTTGTTATACCCTTGACATTCTTCTTATCTCACAGGGAATAACCCATATCAAGTCCTGGGGGCTATAGTCAAATATTTACTCGGACACCATTTAACAAAATCACTTTATATCGATCATTCAATCACCGGAACAAACAATACCAGGGGACATCGCAGGGAAAAACCTTGTGGGGTCGGCAGGCAAGTTGTTTACCTTTTGAGAATTGTTGGGAGACAAAATTTACTCATTTAAATAAACTTTACAAAATACAAATAAATGTCTTGAAATAGGAAATTTCATGTGTAAATTCTGGGTTTCATTACACACACAAAATTTCTTTTTGCTCGCCTGGTTGAACAAATATTTTTCATATTGTCCTCCACATTATTATCATGTGAACTGTTTCATATACATGTAATTGTATAAGTTCATTTTATGTAACCTGGAGCAGTTGATGGAAAATAGAACAGTCCAGAGTGCGGTGTTTACAAATAAATATTGGCTATGATCCAATTAACAAGAATGAACCTGACTAAAACACAATCATCAGCTCAGAGACAATATCACAGAGACGACTATCCCCCCCCCCAAAAAAAATGGCAGTTTGGCTCTTTTAGGGAACGTCCCTTGCAAAATCCTGTTTATAAATATTTCCTCTGATGTAGGTGTACTTTGTATGTGTAAGGTAATCCTAACAAAGACAAATAAATATTTGTCAACCATAAGTCAACATTTGGATGAATGGTCATGGTGTAGTCTAGGGGAAGTCCCTTGAAAGAAAATAGATAAGATAAGGTTTTGTGATTATTATGGTTAAACAGTCAAGAAAAGAAGTGCAAATATTCAACTCCATAAAAGGAAAACCAAAAAGATGATGTTTATTCTTGTGAAATTTCTTGGCTTCTCAACCTGTTATCTGATGGAAGTTTTACAGCTGTTATCTGATGGAAGTTTTACAGCTGTTATCTGATGGAAGTTTTACAATCAAATCCCTAGCTGTTACTAGTGACAAAAGACTGATCAATTATCAAAAGAAGATTAAGCAGAAAAGTTGCAAACACTTTTGAAAATCTTTTTTTAAGAATGTTCAATAGTATTTAGCTGAAATAGTTGGATTTAAATAAAGCCCTCAATATAGTATAATTTTCACATATCTTTTTATAATTCATTTATTTAATAGGCAACCTTTTTGGAATTTAAATTTACATATTGTTTAAGTTTTTGTTTGCTATTTTGTTTTTCCGTAGATGGGCAGACTGTACCTTGGGCATCTGTTGTATTGTGACTCTTGTTGCACTTCGGGTGAGTGGTTATTATTGGTGATTGAATGATGGTGAGGATTCACTCAGATAAAATAAGACTGCTGACACTGCTCTAGTTCACTGATTAATTGTTTACCCTCAAACTTTCTCTCTCTCTACAGATGGTGAAAAACAAAAGTCAAAACTCCCTGAACCAATTAAACAGCTCATCGCCATGGCAACGGAGGGTAATCTGGAAGACACTCTGGATCATAGGCACAGGTATTCTCTCAATCAAAAGATGAAAAAAATTAACAGAGTTTTTATATGAATATTTCTCATTTCTTGCTAACCCCAACAGCGCTGAATCATTAATTTTTGATATGAGTTTTCACACACCTTGTGACTTGATTTCAAACCCGAGTTTTATGTCCCTAACTGGTTCCTTTATTTAATTTTTTATTTTTCATGGAAACCCATTTCACGAATTTTTCCTCCCACCTCTAAAATTGTACATTTCTTTGTTGTCCTCTTCCTATAGGTTTCTTCAGCTTCCAACCATAGTGCCTGTACACTTTTAAGAACCCTTGGTTTGCTGATAACCATAAAGAATTAAAAGGAAAAACTAACAAATGTTTTCCTTCTCTCATGTTGTGTTATATCAGGTCGGAATGCAATCGTAGTCATAATTGCATCAGGTGTCGTGTATGCACTCATCAGCAACGATTACGATGGCTACATAACAATAACAGGCAACGTGACCTCTGGCCTCCCTCCGTTTCAGCTTCCAGATTTCCAGGCACCTGGCATATTGACGGTGGGTCCAATATTATATCTGTCATTTTTTTTGTTCAAGAACATTGTCTTTATGGAATTGTCAGGTCAGAGTTATGTTGAAAATTGTGTGTTTCATTCAGATGTTTGATTTCAGAGGAGATACTCTCATTCTTTGTCTCTTGTATTTAATGTTTGAATGATCTGGCTACAGGGTTCTTTTCTTTTTTTAATTCAAGTTTCACTCTTTTTTTTTTTTAAGTTAGTAGTACTATTGATATTTAACTTCCTCCTTCGAGGAACAGTGCTTACAAAAGTTACAGTTTTATGAAGTACTGTAGTACACTGAATCTTATATCTAAATAAATATAAATGTATTAAGTAAAACTACTGAGTTTGTTTCAATTCATGAAGGATTACATTGATTCCTTCGTACAACTGTATCTTGCAGTATCTCAGGGTTGGTCTCATCATAGTTCCTCTGATTGGTTTCTTAGAGAACATCGCCATAGCCAAAGGATTTGGTGAGTTGGAATAGCAATGTAACCACAGGGTCAGATTAGGTGATACCCCTGATTGCCAGGCTAATAATCTTTCTTGTTGAATAACAACTCAAAAAAGTGCAAATATACATGCTACTATACAACAAACTCTGGCAATTAAACTAAATGCCTAATTGATACCGGTACTTCCTGCTGTTGGTGACAATTGGTAAGAGCTGCTTATTAATGTCTTGTTTCTAATATTTAATTAAACTAAAGAATTATTTTAAAACTTCTTTTCTACAGCTCGACAGAATGGCTACAGAGTGGAGTCCAACCAGGAACTGATAGCCTTGGGTGAGTCATTATTGATGTCTTTTGATTTTCTTTTTAATTCACGTAGAGAAAAGCTTTCTTAAATAAGAATCAGAACTGACTGTTCCAACTCAGTTTTATTTATTTATTTATTTTTTTTTTGGGGGGGGAGGGGAGGGGGCATATGTTGTTTTCCTTAAATGATTCAATTTTCACTCCACAGCTTCGTATTCCTTATATTTTATATTCAGGTTTTTGCAATATGGGAGGATCCTTTGTCTCCTCATACCCAACAACTGGCAGCTTTTCAAGGTAATAAATACATCACTTTATTCTATTCAACTCTGTCATTTCTTGTCCCTTTACTTCTTCTTTATTGAAGTTTCTAACAATACTTGTAATCTTTTTCTCTCTGTCCCCAGGTCTGCCATCAACAGTCAATCCAGCGTGGCCAGTCCATTGGGTGGTCTAGTGACTGGTTCTCTGGTTCTTCTAGCGTTAGCTTTCTTGACACCAGCCTTTTACTACATCCCTAAGGCTGCCTTAGCAGCGGTCATTATCTTCTCCGTCTTCTTCATGCTTGATTATCAGATCGTTGGCCATCTCTGGAAAATCAGAAGTGAGTCCAGTTTCCAATATTCTTTTTTTTTTGCTTTAAAATGAGAGATTTGTTTCACAAATTCATCAGTGTGTTTCCAGCAATTCACAACCCTTTTTGCATCACCCTCTTCCACCTTTGTGGTTTTGCCGACACAATCTGTCAACTTTCAATCTTTTTTGATTAGCATTTCATTGCATAGTGTTTCGGCCTTGTTCTCCACCCACTCCCAACATTGTGCTTCTCCCATTTCCAACTGAACCCAGCAATTGGCCAATCAACACCTTCATGCTACAACTGTGCGCTCCACAGATCATATTGCCAGGCTTCACCGATTCTTAACTTTCACATTCCTGAAAAACGGTAAGACTTGTTCTAACAGAGAACTCATGTACTACAATGTCTGCTTTTACTCACCAAAAATTAAGAATAGTTAATCTTCACAAATAATTTATTTAAAGGTAACATAATAAACATGGCTTCTGACTAGTGCCCCTTGAACAAAGATATTGACTAATTGGGGAACTGCCAACATAGGGCTGGATAGCTCAGTTGGTGGAGCACCGGAACACTTATCTGGAGGTCGCAGGTTTAAAGCCCACTCCAGTCAATTTCTTTGTTCAACTTTTCAATCACAATAAATATTAAATACATTTCAGCCTATTTCTCCATTTAATTCATTCCGTGGGGTCACATCAACCAACTGAGTATTACAACATTTATTATTTTAAGAGTTCTTTTGTTTTTGTTTGTCCTCACAGAATGGGAATTGCTGACATTAATTGCAACATTTTTCCCGTCCTTACATCTTGGTGTTGAGTATGGTACCATGATCGGCATTGGAGTAGACCTTCTCATGCTACTCTTCCCTGTGGCTAAACCAAGCTACAAGGTCAGGAACCAGACATAATCCCTCACACAGCACTACAAGTTGAAATTGAATTTAACTCTGCAGAAATGTATCAAGAATTAAATCCATTTGATGGGATTTGATATCTTATAATTTTACTTATTTGTTTTTCCAATACAAAATTTATATTTATTTTCCTATAGATGTACATGCTATATGAATTGTATTTTGTTCATGGTTGGATATAAATAAATGTTATATTGAATTGAATTAAATTGAATTGTTAATACTGACACAATGTAGTACAAACAAGCATTTCAATTAATTTGGAGGTTTTGTTTGAAAGATCATTACTGTTTTACTTTCAGGTCGAGCAAGGTAACCCGTTAGTGATTCGCTTCAAGCAAGGATTACGTTATCCGGCTGCAGACAGACTGCAGACAGTACTGGATGAGGAGGCTTTGCTCATCGACGAACCTAAATCAGTCATCTTAGATATGAAACACATCAATGCCATTGACTTCAGCATTGCTGAGGTGAAACTAAACAGTCCTGGTCAATCTGAATACATGTTAGCAAAGATTTCATAATTAAATAAATATTGAATGCTCTTTACAATTGATTGATGGTTCAGAAATATCTTTTCCCTGAAGATTAAAAGTAAACTTTCTTTTTCAATTTTCTTTTACTTTTAAGTTCTAAATGAAAAAGTGCACTGCTAATGTGTTTTAATTTACAACTGCATGCAGCAAATGAAACCAACTGCTTTGTAAAGAAGTGTTAAAGGCAAAAATGTAATCATTCTGGTTTGGATTTTTTCTTCAGGAACTGCAAGATAGCGCCAAGGCTTTTGAGAAGGCAGGGAAGAAACTAGCAGTAGTCAATGCAAGAGTAAGTTAGGAATTCTTTTGCCAATTTGTTGACATTTCAAGTTGTGAATATCGTTCGCAATGTCAATGTTGTCAATTCACCAACTTTCATAGCTTACTGTCTGTTCTATTTTTTTCTTAAGTCTTCAGTTAAGAAGATCTTAGACAGAACAGACATCAAAAGTCTACCAATCTATGAGTCGGTTGAAGTTGCCACGGAGAGGATATCAGCTACAGGGCCTGCTCCAAGTCCAGCTGGTGGGTAAAAACCTAACCCCATAAACCCCCAAATCCCCCCCCCCCCCCACTCCATCCATCTCCCCTCCGCCATGCCATTGACCAATGAAACGACTTAAAATTTAGTCACAATATTATTCACCTGCATTTAAATCTATTTTTTCATTTCACAGAGATGGAAGCATTTGATACACCTTTGTAAAGGATTCGGAATCGACTGTAAGCCTACGAATACTTCAGTTTTTATGCACAGTAAATAAAATACATGTTAGTTGGTCCAGGAAAATATGTAATTCACTTCAGAAATTGTCAGAATAAAAATTTAAATTTTGCACTAGTAGCCTGTGGGATATCATTGACTGTCCCAAGTCCCAGCATTCCATTTGTTCTGAGAGTTCTGCAAGTTTTTGTAAGACTTTCATGAGATTGTTTCTGTGAAGCAAGCACTGGTTATGTAATACTCAATAGAGAAAGTACTTGTTAAAGCTATGTTCTACTTCTAACCTGTGAAAAGTTTAAGACCTTCAGTTACGAAGTGAACTGCTTGGCCAGCTGTGTGTACACTTATTTTCTTTTTCTAACACTTCCCTGGTTATTGGTAAAAGTACATTATGACTCTTTCGGATGATGTAGAAAGCTCTTTCAGCAGATGCAATATTTCATTCAGCAATTAAAAATTTAGTTTGTCATTTAAATCTTTCATTTTTTCTAAAACAAGTAAATTTCATCAGAAATAATTGTATGGTTTATCAATTGTTTGAAGAAATATGTACCTATATTTTCTATGTGTAAGTTATATTTTTTTTGTACTCGGATGCAATTCCAAGTATTTGTGTTTATCTCAATTCGTAAATTTAGATAGCAGCTTGCTTTTTGGATTGTGCAAAATGAAATCAAACAAAACATGAAAGTTAAACATGTATAAAAAATAAAAAAATGTAGGCGTACTTCTGTTCAAATATGTATGACGTACCACACTTGAAAATAAAATGTGCTAAAAAAGGGCTTAAAATAGACTTAGTCTATATATACCTAGTTCTATTTTATACCCAGTTCAAAATTTGGACTGAAAAAAAGGTAAATTTGGAGCAGTAGTTGAAAAATAGTTAGGTTTTTCCAACGGTGGACAGCCGACCACCGTTGGAAATGTATACAAAAACACCATTTTCTTGAAAATGACTTCACACCAGGTGCCATAATTTTACAGGATGCTTGAGACTGTCATTTACCAACATCATAGGAAGGCATTTCGTAAAAACTTTGTAGTTTTATTTTTGGATGTTTGCAAATGTTGTATATTCCCTTTAAGTGAGAACATACTCAGGTTTACACAAAAGAAATATCTTATAGATCGCTTATATTACATTGTATTCAGAATTTCTATCAACAAGTAGACATCAGTAAATATTCAGATTGTAAAACTTAAATATACTTTTTGTGTAATTAAGAGTTCCTAAACAGAAGTACTCATTCAATGACCTTATTTAGAGATTGGTAGAAATACAGATAATCACAACTACCAAAGACATAAATTCATGATGAACATGTGATGCTTTATCATTTCAGTAAGTAAGTTTACACACTAAAGATCAAATAAAAATCACAACTAGAAACATATAATATGAATCTCATGAATTGTTTCTTGTGATAGTTTTCAATGAATACGAGAGGTAAAGTGATATATTGCACAATGTTCGTCAGACCACACACAAAGCATTTATAAACACATGGAATGAGATTAAAAGTTAAAAGTGGATAATTCCAATCTATTCAACCTTAATGGTTCCTCCATTGCCCACAAGCCCTGTCCTCTGGGGACACCCCAAACCACCACTCAGGCCCTGTCCCTCCATCCCACCAGATATGCAAAAGCAATTAATGATAACTGGAAAACCAGCAGAATTTGGAGAACTCAACGCTCCCTCTGTCAGCCCCCTTCCCAGTGACCCCACCTATGACAACCTACCCTGCCAAGCACAATCCATTTGCAAGCATCATAGTCCTCCTTTACTGTTTGCCGCAAGCCACTTGACAACCTCACTGAGCCCCTGGCCATCCTTAGCACTGATTTCCAGCACTGTGATTGGCTGCAGAGCTGTGTTTATCAAGTCATCAAGTCTAAGAAGGTACCTGAGCTCAGCAAGTGGCACACTTAAATGAAGGTCACTGGAGAAAAAGAAGAGCATCAGAAAACTCTTAAATTTCTGCTTCTAGTAATAACTTGTACATAAGAGTTATTGTAGTAATAGAAAAGACATTCCTGAGTCTCCTTTTAAAATTTCAGAGGACTTACACTTTATTGAGAAGGATAAGGACGTTGACCTTTTGCATCTTCTCTGATTGAAGAGTGGTCAGCAGCTGGATGCATGAAGCAGACACTTGGGTAGAATTGGACGCATCAATTACAAACTGCAATTCAGACGAATAAATAATACAACAAAATACAAATTAATACGCAATTTAAATCTATTTATTACAATAAAACCCAAATCATATAGAAGTGATCCTTTATTTCCAGGCAACACTGCAGTTACTGCAGTAGATGGTAATGAATTCTTAAGTAGCACGATGAAAGGTTACTCTTTCAGTTGATAGACACAGGAATAGTTGTCAACTTCAGTCAAATATCACTCTTTGAAATTCATTATCAGCTCATTAGCAAAGTCTTGAATTTCTTACCATCAGGGCAGAGCAATCTGAGAAATAATTGAACCAGATGGGTGCCATGGCTCCGCCTAGTTCCCTAATCGTCACCTCATTCCTCTTACTGACACTGACATTCACCAAATTGGTGCCAACCTAAAAGTAAGAACGACATGTTTGGTAAAATAAGATTGTATTTCAGTTTTACAAGGAAATCACAAAAGACCAACAAATAGGTAATACATAAATACATAAAATATATGAATAAACAATACTTGCATTATTTGAATAAGAAATACAGAAAAATACTCCACTTACTGTCGGAATTGTTGATGGATTTTCCTCAGATTCAGTGAATGAACCTTTGCTCGAATAATGTGTAAATATGTCAAGGAGGAACAACGCAAAATATGTAACCACAAAAAAAATGAAAATACACACAATTTTTATGAATAATTTTGACTCTACATGTATGTTACTTGTTAGACGTAGGAAATCTAATTTCTGAACCTTGATTTGTTTCTTTTAAATAAGCCAATAACAAAAAATGAAATTTAGTGGTCAATAATAGTTACATCAATCATGTTTGAGTGGGAAAGAGAAAAAGAACAGAACAATCCGGTGTACAGACTTTTATTCAATCATTCACTTTTTGTGTCAATCTTTCTAGCCAAATTTTACCATGAAAACACTAGTTGAAAATGTGTGACTTCAATGAGAGTCCCAAAGTTAAGACAGTAAAAACGTGCAACACAAAAAAATAGAATGGCACATGAAACAACCAGTCCAACACCCCTTTAGTACTGCATATCAATCAACAGTGTCAAAGAAACATCTGGGTCTCTTTTTCTACACATTCTCTCCAGCTCCAGAGTCATGCCACCAGACTACTGAAGGGTCAATTTTTTTTTTAAAGTTGGACAGGTACCAGTTTATAGGCTTAGACTGCAAGTTGAAATCAGTTGGCTTCATCATGTTCATTTTCTGGTGGAATCTGTTGAAGAAAAATCTCCTTTATTAATATAGCTTAACAACCTCAAACACAGCTGGTGAAATACTGAGGACCTTGTCTTTGCCTCATGAAAATTTTGGAGAATTTTGTCAGCTAAAGAGGCTAAAGAGGGCCTGATTTTGATTTGCATGTTTTTATTTACTCAAGGTCTGTCATGTCTGTGAAAACACATACTTGACATACATACATAGACATAGTCATACGATTAATTACGACTGATGTCTGATGACGAGTCGGTGTTAACTCCTCACACTTTTTTCTACACGACAAAGGATATTCTGAAGACGTTTGAGCAGCAGAGTCTTGCCGACTCCGGTCATTCCAATCAGCAGACACATAATTTATCGCTATCAAGACAAACAATATGTAATTTTAGGATTAAACTCTATTACACGATAAAGGAATAGTACACCTTTTGCATGGGCAGCGCCATATTGGATTGCCGAAAAGAATTGTGGGAATCGTCCACTTCCTGTGTAGTGACCTTGATCTGACCTCGACAGTTATTGGAACTGAATCAGGACTGATTAGAAAACGTTAATTTTGATCGACAATAGGTTTTTATTGATACTGATAGAGATCAAGAATCTTGGGAAATCGGATCTACTAGGTGTGATTTAAAAATAAGGACAGTAAATATCATGCTGAAATCATGGAGGAAGGAATGTATCATCGTCGTCTGCATTATCATGACCTATTTTAGGGTCAATGACGTAATGTTTAGCTGATAACCATTTCAAAGGTCTTATGGTTTGATGTCGCGCGCGCGGGTACCAGTGTTCCATTGTAGATTACGTATGCAGCAAGTTTGCGTTGAACACCGCGGATTATCCTTTAACAATAACAGGAGCATAGTTTATTTTGCCAGTCATTTAGAAGTCCAAATTATACTAGTGACGATGTTTTCATCTTCAGGAAAAGGCGGATTCGACAGAGCATTGGGTAAAAAATATGACAAAATGTCGTTATGGAACTTATGAAAATACTCTTGGATTTTGTTTTTGTGATTTGTTTTTGTTCCGGAATCCGGGGGCATGGGGGGGGGGGGGGTCCTCATCGTTTTGTCTAAGGCTTCTTTTTCAATGGGCTTAATTGGTAGTTACTATTTACTGCCTGGCAGTTTTTTTATGGTTATGATCGCTTTATGTACAATAAGAATAAGGTGGTAATTATGCGCCATCTTGTCGACGGGTGTAATTACACGCGTTGCTGTGTACGTATCGTCAGTGGAAAACTTTGGCGCTTCCAAGTCATCATGTAGTCATTCCAAAATGCGCCCGCGACTAGCAACGCGTGTTCTTTTTACCCCATGAACAAGATGGCGCTACCAAGAAACACCTTATTGGACATATTTGAAGGGAAATGAAGAAGGGCCAATAACAAGTTGTTTTCCTGTTCCTAATTTTAAGTGTGGGGGGGGGGGCTGTCACTATTAATTATTTTATCAATATTATAAACAGCAACGTTGAAACTTTAATTTCAATTTTGATTTCAGAAAAGGCCACAAGTCAGCTGTTGTTGGAGCCTGATTGGGACGCTACCCTGCAGATATGTGATTGTGTCAGACAGAAAGATGTCACGTAAGCTTTGCATTCAGATCAATTCATTGAATGTATTAAATATCAAAATAACTGAATAGAAGTTGTTTTGTTAATTAAAATCCAATACAGTTGTGATAATTAATTAATTTCCCAATTTTTTGGTAAATTATATCACAGAAAACGCTGCATATTTAGGAAGGTTTACGCTTGTGTAATGTTTTTTTCTTCAATATAGTGGCAAGTATGTCATCAATGCTATTCGCAAGAAGCTGTTTGATAAAAACCCAAGGGTGACCCTGTATGCTCTTCAGGTAAGCAAACTCATCTCTTAGTCTTACATATAGTATGCTCAGAGATCATTCTCTTATTAAAGCTACTTTTATTTTGGCCAATCCAAAACTTGACATGTTGTAAATGTGAATACCAAACTGGGACCTTGAGTGCTGAAATTGAAAAACATGCAAACAAAATCTGGCCAACTTTACCCCCCCCCCCCCTTTAGTCAATAATCTTCTCCAAAATTTTGATGAGGCAAAGACAAGGTCCTCAGTATTTCACCAGCCAAGTTGAGGTCTCAATTCAGTTTTTAAAGGCGACCTTTCTTCAACATTTTGCACCTGAGAGTGATGCAAGGTGATTTCAATTTGAAGCCTAAGACTAGACTGGTACACATCCAACTTTTTGAAAAGATTGACCCTTCAGTAGTCTGGTGGCATGACTGGAGAGAATGTGTAGAAATAGAGTTTGGTACCCGATGTTTCTTTTGACACAGTTGACTGATGCCGTACTAAAGGGGTGTTGGACTGGTTGTTTCATGTGCCAGTCTATTTTCTTGTATTACATATTTTCAGTTAAGTTTTGGGAATCTCATACCCAGTATTGAGAGTCCCAAATGTGAGTGGTAGAAATTTCGGACTATGTGAATACCATAAAATAGAAATACTGTAGTAATGATAGAGAATATTGATGTT